CCTTTTTACACCTCCCTTTATTCATGTGTTCAATACTTTTTCCCTGTGCCATTCCACATTTTTACAAATAACTTCACTTGGGTTGTTACCGACATCTGGTGAAAATTTCATGTCATTAGCACCTCTAGTAATATATTTACTGAGAAAAATGGTGACGTGTTCAATACTTATTTTACCCGCTGTATACAGTAATTCTAAAGTCAAATTCAATACCTTTTAATACCTTTTTAATACCATTCCAATGCTTTTTATTACCAACACGACTTCAAGCTGCAACTGTAGCGGCAACCGTTTCAACTTATAATTAGAGGTACTGATACATACGGTAGTTACTTCTTTGCCTTAATGAAACACTGACCTATATACAATCATGTTTTTAACCCTAAATTCATGACAAAAGGTGTTTTCATTATTATGTGTAATGGTAAATGGACTGTACTTATATAGCACCTTTCTACCCAACCAGGACACTCAGAGCACTTCACACTACAATCTGTCCCCTCATTTACGCATTCACACAGTACTCTATTAGGTCTCTACAAAGATAACATATAAAATCAGCTGTGGAGACTAATCAGTGCCAATCACATTCATACACCGATGCGACACACATCAGAGGCATTAGGGGTGAAGTATCTTGCTCAAGGACACAACAACTGTGACAGCTGGATGAGGGATCGAACCGATGACAGCAGTGCAATCAGCAACAAGTCTGCTCTCGCATGTCCCAGGAACTCAGAACCAAAATATCCTGATGTCACACAACCATCCTCTAAATAACATCTGTGTGTGTGTCCATCTGTTTTTTAAACATGTATTAAAACTTTTGTTAAACGTGAGAATGAATGGTCCAGCTGTGTTATCACCCCACCACCACCATCACACACAGTTTTACTCACAGTCACCATCTTTTATCTGCAAATACGTTGACGACACCAGCATACTAAAGAATGACTGTAAAGGATTCATTAATCAACTTCTTTAAAAAATTTATTTTTTTCATACCAAGCAGAGGGTTACCTGCAATATCTTTCAATTATCACCTTTTAAATTGAACAAAACTGCAAAATCACCCTTCCTGTGTCAACTTTTATCACCAAGCATCAACGTGCATAAGATGTTTTTTATGTTTAAAAATCACTATTTATAAACTTTCTTGTAGCTAAAAATACTTTCAATTAAAAACTACGACTGAAAATAATAAAAACTTACCAAACAAACAAAATCAACAGAATCTACGTGAGAACTGTAAATTATATTTCATGTGATCCTGCATTAGCCTACATTTACATAAAGTCTGATCCCAAATAAATAAACAATTTAGCTCAAATTCTCAAAAGTCTTACTTTAATACAGTGTAGGATTTAAATTTGCTCATTTTTATCTACAAACAAATAAAACTGACTTCTTCATAGAGAATGCCCTCCCTGAGAGTTTTTGGGAGAACAATGAAAAAAATCTGAGACACAGCTTTAATTTACTTTGGTTTTGTTCAAACAAATATAACTATTTTAGAGTTAGTGTGTGTCTGTTTGTTCCAGTAAACACACACCTATTGATTGATGTTACCTCCCAGGTTATTTATCACTTTAATCTCCTCACCTGCTGCACCTGTCTGCTCCTCCCTCCTCTCCGCTCTGCTCTGCTCCTGTCCAGCTAACTTTAGCTAAAGCTAGCATCCACCGACACACGGCTCCTCTCAGGTGGTGGAGGAGTCGTAAACCTTCTGCAGGTTTATCTTTTCTGACTTTTAACAATCTTCCAGCTTTGATATCGTCTGTTCTTTTTTAGACTTTTCCTGACAAATATATTGTATTTAACACATCGCTCAAACTTCTGCTACTAGAGACACTTAAGTCCCGCCCCCACACTATTTCTGATTGGTTAATAGGCCTGTCTAAAGTGACAGCTGCGTCTCAGATTGGCCCAGAGAAATGTTTGTTAAATCTGTTTTCAAAGCAGCGCATCAGATTCCAGCATGGCAAAAGTGCGCTAGTTGTTTAAAAATTAATACCTCGTCAGATGGCGTTTATTACCTTTTAATACTTTGTAATGGCTTTAATTTTTGCTTATTTAATTTACTACCTTTTAATACTTTTTACAATCCCGCGAATACCCTGAATAATGATTTTGTTCTGCAACGAAGTTAAAAGTTTATGTTTTGTGAAATTAATAAATTCATAAAATCATTGCACAACAAATTGTTGTTGCTGAATCTTGTGTCGTTTGTTTTGCTGCACTTTATATAAAAATATAGCCGTTTGCTAACAGCCTTTACTTTTTCTATTTCTTTAATTGGTTACCAAATATTTACCTGTCTAAAGCCCTATTCTGACAGGATTAGTTTTACCTAGGGACCACATGTATAATAATTTCAGAGATTGTCTGTGTTGTTAATCTCCTGTGAATCAGACATTTCAGTAATATGTAAAGTAAAATTTCCCCACAAATTACCTCCTACATTTTGCTGAACTCTGAGGTCCTATGATAATACTAATCCAATGCAAATAGACATCTCTGTGATTTGGACAGGAACAGGCTGAATCCAACATATAATTAGGTAGTTTTTGTTTCCTGGGCATATTTTTATTTGCTTTTGGTGAAGAATGGAGGCTGGATTGGAGTGCACTGAAAACATTTTGGGTCCCGGGCCAGCAAAACCCTTTCGACTCAGTCAGCGTCAAAAAGAAAAGGCTGAAGAGAAGGAGTAAAATCAGATGCAAATGGTGGCTCACATCACACATTGCACTGTGCGGTAAGAATATTGTTTTTCTGTTTGCAGCCATCTGGCTGATGCTGGCAGTAACAGTGCAGAGCTGTGGCCGTAGCGCAGCGTGTTAAGGTTATAATTGAGCTTTGGATAGTCGCGCAGGGCTCCCTCACCAGCGATGTAGGTGTTTATACACTTTACTTTATACACTTTATAATGTATAAAACATTGTAAACAGGAGAGCAAAAGCTTGATGAACAAACAAACTGTTTGGATGGTGCGCGGAGCGCGCAGCCTTGTGGGGCACTCTTGGCACGCACCCTCGCACCATGTTCAACGTGTCAACTATAAACCAGGCTTCAATATAATATCCGGGAGATGTCCATAAATTTCAGCAAAATCTCAGGCTTCAGTTATTCCGTGCAAATGCACCACATAAAAAACAGACATCAGGGAGTAATTTATTTATTACACAGGGTCCACATGCTTATCCTGTGCAAATGGGGCTTTAGTAAACCTTTAACCTGCCAAGACACACTACTAATCTGACTTTTAACAGAGTTCTAACAATATAATAATATAAATATAATATATAATATTCAGAAAGGTTAAACAGGTTAAATAGTTCAGGTCAGTAACTCACCAGTCGATCAGATAAAGGTCAGGGGTCAGGTTGTTGGTTTGGAAGTGGTTGAAGAGACGTGGTAGATTCTCCTCAAAGAAAATCTCAAAGGCTGCAAAATATTTCAACATCTGACACAAACAAAAACAAGAAAAAAAGCATTTTATTTTTGAGTTGCAAATAAAATATATTCAACACCATGCAATTACTTTACATTGAAATTAGCAACAGATTATTTTTTCTCTCCACATGTCATGGCTTCATAAATATGTCAGATTATGAGTGAGTGTAATCTGAATAAATCCTACAAGATCATGGTCGACTCTGAAAAAGGCCATCTGACACGGTTTATTGAGCAGGTTGGCGAAGGTGATGAAGGCTTCAGCCTCCTCCAGGTTCAGGATCAGAACCGCAGCGATGAAAGACATTCCCTGGACCTGAAACATCAGAAAAAAAAAATATTTAAACAGCAATTTTATTACTATATTTTATCTAAATAAAGCCAAATAAATTCATTTTAAATTCTAAAATCATTGGCTTCTTTTGTTCTAATTTTCTTTGTGATTTAAGTAACATTTCGTATTTTAGTTTTTTTTTTTACATTTCAAATTGAAATTAAACTTTTTTACCAATGCATAACATTGTTATTACATGTAAACAATATATGTACAATAAAGTACTAAATACATATGACCAGTTTAAGAAAACCTATTTATCAGCAATATCTTGATATCTGAAGATATTTACCTTAATTAAAATTTTAGGGATCAAATGCGCTTTTTATGTTTTGATTCATAAACCTTATAATGCCAGTATAGGTTTTAGTTTATTTTAAAATATTTATTTTATTTTATTTTTTATGTATTAATTGATTTCATTTATAAAACCACAAAAAGTCCATTAAAAAACAAAGTATATCAATTATTGAATAAAAAGGGTGCAGATTACTTACTTTTCTATTAATCTAAGCTGATAAAATGATGAACAAACTGTATAAGAAGTGTTTCATTGTCAGAGCAAGAAAAAGATTTTGCTTAGAAAAGTTTGAACAACTCAAAATGGATGTGTGACATCATCAAGGTAAACATTCAATGGTTAAGTCTAAAAAAATACAAATCTGACATTCTAATCTGTAGTTTTATAGAAATTGTTAGAGATTAAAATTCCAGTTCAATCCTGTAAAGTCTAACTTTCTGTAACCCATTTAAACTTTGAAAGATGAAACATCTCTCAGCTATAGAGAGTAGAAAACACTTTAGACATTTTTCAGAGATCGTTATTCTTGTTATTCCACTTGAGGTGAACCCTACAAGAGCTACAAAAAAAGAGAGTTGAACAGGATGAATGTGAAGTAAATAAAAGAACACAGCAATAAAACAGAGATAAGGTGATTTTATGTTTTTGATTTGCTCCCATCAATAATAATGCTTCAACTATTGTTCTTAAAGAAAAAAAAACATGAAAAGTGCTGTTATTTTGGGTTTAAATACAAAAGAAGTCGATTTATTAAAAACAACATCTTGCACTTTAATGCTCTCTACATTCTAAAACAAAGCAGCACATGGAAGCACTGCAGATTTTTAAATAGCATTCATTGGGGGTTAACCAGTTTCTTTATGGCTCCACGTTTGAGACTTGTTAGCTGCAGCACTTTCATATTTCTGCTGCCTTTTCAGCCTGAAAAGACTGACTTCACTCAGCCCAAAAGAAAATATTTTAATTTATTGTCTGCTTACAAAACAAGAGTTTGGTAAAACCTAATAAACGGTTAAAGATGTGGTGGATGAAACAAACTCACGTAGCCGATGTCAGGTCTGTAACAGGTGTAGGCCCCCAGCACGCTGTGGAGCAGGTCGTGGTATGGACCCCCCTGCAGAGAAACAACACAAGAGTCTAATGGTGCGTTCACACCAAACGCAATTTCAGCGTCAGGAGCAGCAGGTTTACATGCAAAGTCTATGGTGGAGGCGCTTCAAGCAACGTCGGGAAGTTC